GGCACGCCTGCTCGTCTTGCCCCCAAAGTCCTGCCCTGACAATCCTCACTGCCCCTTAGTTCCTATCCCTTCCTGCAACTAAGCCCAAGTACATGTAACTGTACAGAGCAGATATACTTTCCCTGTTTACTTTTGCCTCCATTTTTCTACCCCTCCTACTGTCGCCTCCTCTATGACAAATTTTGGATTGTATGCTCCTCGGGGCATCTCCTTCATTTTTCTCTGCTACACATGTTGATGGCACTTTACAAGCAAATAATAATAATAATAGTTATTATTGTGTGCACACAATGGAACGAGCTTTTTTTCTAACCTAGGATACAAAATAAACAGTTTTAGTCGTGTGGTAATTATTCTGCTGCTTCACCCCACTGGAAATTGATCCGCAAGGTATCTCTTCCCCCATGATGTGGGTCAGCTACCGACAGGACCATGGGATGCAGAGGTCAGAGTAAACAGGGAAGATCTAAGGCACTCTGCAAACTACAAGAGGTGGGGAAGCCCACAAGATGCAGCTCATCTCTGAAGCCATGAGAGACAGAAAAGTAGCAACAGAAGACTCCCTTTGTACAGGGTGGGTAAAACTAAAACTGAATTTCAAAGGATTTGAAAGGATTTCAACAAACCTAACCAATGTGGATCTGAGAAGTTGCTTTCCCCCCCTTTTCCTCTCCCCACCTCTTTTCCCCAACTTAATGACAGGCAGTAGATCAGCTTAGTTTGCATACACGGGAATTATTCAGAGGACTGAAGTAGCTGGTTGATAAACGCTTATGGCAAAGGTATGTAACGGAATAAATCCTCCACAACTACCCTTCCTTCACACCTGGGGTTCCCTGTTCAAAACCACACGATAGGGATCAGAAATCCTAGCTCACCCAACGATAAACATGTGAGCATAATTAACTAGTGCAGGATTTGGTGATGGCAATCAGTTTACATGTCTTCTTCTTTAAAAAAAAAAAGAAGACTATATTTTTAATGATTCTATACTCCTGCATAAATTAACCCCAGTTCTGTATTCACAATTACAAAAGCATCAACAAAGGCAGAAAGTAATTTACCTTTCTTATACCACACTTTATGAATCTCCTCCTTTTGCGACAATATGTTAAGAAAAAACATCAGAGGGGTATTGATTGATTCTGTATGCAATGACTGTGCTCACACACAGAGAGAAACATGCTTGGTTTAAGGAGAGTGGTCAGTGACAGCACCCTCACAAGAAAATGAAAGGTTTAAAACCACTGTTATAAAGGGGGAATGGGGAACAGAACAGAAATGAACAGGCTCAACTGCCTCCTGAGCCAGAGCACCCCCTAATGGCAGTCTGCTGCACTGCAGCTGGCCTTTTCTGTGCTCAGCGTCTCAAACGTGGGAAAACACACAAAAAAGCGAATTTGAAAGGGACTGTCCAGCATTTCCTGTTGAAAAGGAAATGGGAGAGAAACTGTGGTTTTGATCCTAGTAAAAGAACAAAGAGACAACAAGCTGGGCTTTGTGCTCTGTAGCCACAGGGGTTGCCAATATTTTGTCCTGCCTTTTCCAAGTGCACAAAATAAAGGCAGAAGTTCAACCGGCAAAGAATCTACAGCAGCTGCTTGCTATGTAAGCAAGATTCACTTGCTGAATATATTCTTGCCATACAGCAGAGAATGCCTTGCTTTGCAGGGTGGGAAGTATTTCCAGGGATGGATAGGACTCTGTGACGGGTAGAGCCCTCCTTCACCATTCAAAGATGCTCTCTGGAAGAGGAAACTCTGTTTTTGTGCTTATTTTATCCTACAACATCCTCCTTTACCACCACCACCCACCCTTTAATCCTCACAACAACCCTGTGGTGTAGCTTATGCTGAGATAGAGAATGACTTGGCCTCAGGTCACTCATTGATCTTCTTGGCTGAGTGGAGAAATTTGAACCCAGGTCTCTCTGCTCTAAGCCTGACACTCGGGATTGCCAACTTTTGAGGGACCGCGGGAACGTCTGCAAAGTAGAGAAACCACCACAGCAACCAAGCACATGCCACAGCCTAGGGTATTGGCGAGAAACAGAGTGCCTTGTCCAATTTCAGCTGGTGTGGAGAGGACCCCATTGGTGATCCTTGCCCTACAGCAGCCTTTGCCACCTTGGCGCCCTCCATGTGGCTTTGGACTGCAGCTCCCACCAAGCCCATCCAGGTAAGGGCATTGCTGTGCTATGCCCTCGGCACCTGGCAAGAGGCACGGCAACTGCAGAGCTGCGCCAGGGAAGAGCCACGGCTTCGTTCTGGTGACGGATGCCTACGTGTGATTGTTGGGGCAGAAGGTGGGGCAGGTTCAGGATGTCCTCTTCCAGCGACAGAGAGTGTCCCTCCCCACAGATACTTGCATGAGGCTGTACACAACTCTGCCTCCGAGTCCCTGTATAGGTTTATCTTTGAAACTGGTGTCGAGATTGGGGGGGGGGAGAGTTTAAAAATTCCTTTGTTAAAGGGTGCCAAAGAGAAAAAGATGCCAGACATGGTCGCCATCTGATCTTTGATTAATGCCCAGATTCAGCATCTAGATCCCTGCTGGGTGGGTAGAAAGTAGCCAGCCCCCCTTTTCCCTGCACCACCGCCCCCCCTGCCAGGAGGGGCATCTGCACCCCTGGCATCAGCTTCATTAACTACAACCCCCGAAGGCCGGGATCCCAAATTTCATGGTTTGTAGTTAGTGAAGTCCCTGGGGTCCTCAACCCAGAACATCCCCGTATGAGCTGGGCTTCTCTGATAGACCTTATCCTGTGGAGTTGCCTACCGGTAATAATAATAATAATAATAATAATAATAATAATAAAAAAAAAAAATTTTACAGAATCAGACACAGGCTGCTTTCACATCACACACTGAAAGCACATGGCTTCCCCCCAAAAACCCAGGGAACTGTAGTTTGTGAAGGGTGCTGGGACATAGTCCTGTGCAGGGAAAACTACTGTTCTCATGATTCTTTGGGGAAAGCCATGCAATTTAAATGCATGATGTGGGTGCAGACTCAAGCCCAGTATTGTCTACTCAAGCAGGCAGCAGCTCCCCGGGGTCTCAGCTGGGAGCTTTTCCCATCAACCACTGCTCCCTGATTATTATTATTATTATTATTTTACTGAAGATGCCAAGGCTTGTGCTCTGTCGCTGAGCCACGCTGACCCCTTCTCCAAGATATGGCCTCTCTGGAATGTACCCCTGCATGTGATCTTAAAGAAGAAAAAGAACCTCTAAGCATGCGCTGAGTGTCTTCCCCGGCCTGTGCCACAACAGAATATGCACACGTTTGGGGTGATTATGACCAGTTTTGGTGTCAAAAGATGACTCTCCAAATCAAAGGGCATGGTTTTATTTTTGGGGGGCGGGGCGATTAAAACATAACTTGTTACCTGCATTACTATTGATAAAATCTCTTGGGGAAAACAAACAGAACTTATTGTTCCATCAAGCCTTTGGCATTATTTCTTGGTCCAAGTACTCTGCCTACTGCAGCTAAAGTTAAGTATACGTCACTGCAATAATCACATTTTCTTCCCCTCATGTCCTTTGCATCCAATTACCCCTCCTCCCTTCTGTTGCCACACTTGCATCTGTTCTTTTATACTGTATGATTGTTGGGGCAGAGACCTGGCATTTCATTCTTTGTAAAGTGCCAGGGACATTGAAGGAACAACAATATCCAGCTTACAGCCTCCCCACAAAAGTATTCTATTATGAAGAACAGAGGAGAGAGAGAGAGAGCTCAGTCAGTAAAGCATGAGACTCTTAATCTCCGAGTTGTGGGTTCGAAATTCACACTGGGCAAAATATTGCTGCATTGCAGGGGGTTGAATTCGATGACCCTCATGGTCCCTTCTAACTCTGAGATTCTATGACCCAGATTCTATGACCCAAATCTTGGAATAGCTTGTCAAGCTGATGAATATCTTTGAAAGTAGTTGGGTTGGGGGAAGGATGAAGAAAGGAAAGCATACCTTGCTCTGGGGGGAGGCGGGGCCCTTCCTACCCCCCCACCCCACCCCAGCAGATCCCTAGCATCAGCAGCATTGCAGACTGCAGCCTACCTCCCCAATTATAACCCAGCCCAACCCTGTTGAGCCAGTTCCTGCCACTTGGGATTCCCATCTGACAGGTATCCTGGACGGCAGCCAAAACGCGTCTGGGGAGACAGATGCCGCCTGGGCCAGAAAGTGTGGGTGAAGAACTGGACCACAGGGGTGGGGATCTGTCCCAGACACTTTCTCTTTCTCTTCTCTCTCTCTCTCTGCTGCGGCAGGGGTCCAGCAGCTGTCTAGGGGCTGAGTGTGTGAAATCGGCTGGGCTCCGTCTGTCTGCCGTCGGGGCCGGGCGGGACAGGTGGCCGCTGAACTGTGCCTTTGAGGCTGGGGGCTCATCAGGCCAAGCAAGGGAGGCTGGGAGGGGGGAGGGAGAGGGGGGAGGGAGCCAGAAGGGGTCCTACCAGGCCAAGGGAAAGCTTAATGCTGCCAACCACAACGGCAGCTCCATCCATCCTCCTCTCTGTCTCTGGCCATCAGCCCCCCCCCCAGCCAACCAAAGGACCAGGGCAATGGGACTTTTGCACCGGCAGCCCCCTTCCATGTACCCCCTCCCTGACCACTCCCTGCCCTTCCACATGACCCCCATCCTCAAGGGACAGACAATATAGGAGAACTGATTCTCAAGTCAGTAGAAACAGTCTCAAAGAGAACCCAGGAGTCCTAGCCGTCTTGCCTCCCCCAACATACATTTCAAGTTTTAACACATTCAACACCTGTCCCAGAGCTGTGAAGGGGGACCCAGGAGTTCTGCCCTGCTCCCTCTGGGTTTTCCTCACTGTTCCCAGCCCTCCTGCCCCACTCTGGGCCACTCCCTGCTCCCCCAGCCCCCATTCCCAGAGCTGAGAAGAGGACCCTGGTTCTAATACCCCCCTCCCTGTCCCTCACTATTACGCACATATAAATACACAGACCCTCCTTCCCTTCCGCAGTTCTCACTCACCTGCCCTCTGCAGAGCCCTCGACCCTCGAAGAAGCACCAACAGCAGACCAAAGACCACCCAGGGCATTTCTGGACGGTGTCACCCCTTTGCCCGGTGCACTCAGGCTGCCCCACACCTGGAGGGTGTAGGAACAGCCAGGGTCCCAAGCTAGAGCCCAGCTGGGGGAGGGAAGGGACCAGAGGGGTGTCTCTGGACTGTCACGGCGCCAGCCAATCGAGGATCTAGGCGGGATCTTCCAGGGTCTGCATGGATGGCGGCGAAGGACGCTGGCGATCCAGTCGTTTTCTGGGATCTCAGCGGGTGGAGCCTGCTAACTAGCCATTGCATCGGAGGGGCTCGGATACCCCTCGGCTCCTCTTCCTGCTCCGGGGAAGTCGCTGTCAAGCAGTCGGTGGGTCGGAGAGGATCTCGTTGATCTGTCCGCAGGATCACATGTCGCTGGTCCCCAAGGGGCACCGTGGGGCGGCAACTGTCCTCTCCTGTCCTGAAAGTGCAGCCTTGGGTCCCAAGCGAAGTTTCTCTCGCAGTTCGACGGGGCGCAAGCTTAGCTGGTATCCTTCCGGATCTGCCACGTTCCGAGCCGGCTGTCCCCAAAGGATCTGGAATCCACTAGAGTCCGAGCGCGGTGGCTCATCTCCCCCGGTCTTCCTGGTGAGGATTCGGCGGTCAGACGCGACGGGGTCCCGCCTCACCCTTCTTAGCTCTCTTCACCGCTTCAGCCGCCGAGTAAGATCTCGGATCTGGCAGATCTCTTGCCAGAAGTGATGCTCGTGGATCTCTCTTTCTCTCCTCCCCTCTCCGCCTCTCTCGGCTTCCGACCAATCCCTTCTCGGCCTCCTTAGGCAAATCTGGAGTCTCTCCGGAGCCCCGAGGGATGGTGTGTGGATCAATTCTTGTCCACGACGGGTTTGCTCACCAGGTGGGTTCCTTCCATCCCGGAGGGGATCTCGGCGCCTGTCAGGCGGCGGCGTTCAGCGTATCCTTACTCCCCGCCCTCTCCCCGCCACCTCCAGAGCGGATCCGGAGTTTGCAGGCGGACCAAACCCGAATGGAATAGTCTGCGGCTCTGCTTACGTCCAGGCGGACCTGTGATAGTCCGGGCTTTTCCTGGGGGGCGAGTAGTCGGAACCCGCCCCAGGCAGCCCCCAGAGGAGCCTGGGCAGCCGCCGCCCTCGTGGTGGAACCACCTGCAGCGGCAGCCCCGCAGCTCCCTCGGCTGGGCGCTTGTTCGACGGGGCCGGTTCCTGGCTCGGCGGCTTCTGCTGCTGCTGCTGCTGCCGCCGCCGCCCTCCGCTCTCTGTTCCCCCCAGCTCGCTCCCCTGGCAGCCGGAGGCAGAAGAGAAGGCGGCTCCCCCGCCATCCCCACCCCACTCCCAGCAGATCTCCCCGCCCCGACCGGCGGCCGCCCCTGGGACGTCCCATCCCGAAGGGGAGGGCCGAGAGGAGGAGGCTTCTCTTCTCGGCGCGACTTCTTTGCGGCCGCCTCGCTCTCTTTCTCTCTCATCTCTGCGCGCGGCCTTGAAATCTGAGACGGGGCGGGAAGAGGAGGGGAAGGAGGGGGCCAGAGGATGTGCGGTTTGGGGGCGAGCGGGTGGGAGAGGAGGCTGGGCAGCCCAGGGCTTCACTTGGGACATAGCTCACAGCCCAGAACCAGTTTTTTTCTGCTGGGCCTCAAGCCCCGGAACACGTGAGGAGAGCGTGCCTCTGAGCACGTGCAGAGTTGATCTCTCTCTCTCTCTCTCTCTCTCTCTCTCTCTCTCTTCATTCCATCGTCCACACGCGCCTGGAATCGGGGAAAAGGTGGGTGAGGCTGACTGCCAGAACATTTGAGCCCCCGCACCTCTTCTTTTTAAAATGGAGCACTGGCCCGGGCTCCGGAGGGTTAATGCCTCCTGGAGCCTGTTTTTGAAATGACTGCGGACACAGTGTGCATGCAGAGCACATTCCCCCCACCCTGCAAGAATCCTGGGAACTGGCCTTTGATAAGGGCGCTGGGAATTTTAGCTCAGTGAGGGGCGAACTACAGTTCCCAGCACACTTTGGCACTCTTTTGATAGGTGGGGTGTGTATGCAGCCAAGACCAGCAGGCCTCAAGGTGTGTATCAAGGTGGAACATCTCTGGGTACCAGCAATGTCCCATCCCCTTCTACAAAGTCCTGCATTAAAGGTTAAAGAGAGAAGAGGAAGTGGTTTTAAATTAAAACTCAGCACCAGCTACTTAAAAAATGAGCATCAAGCAGACCGAATCCTAGGGATCCTGGCTCTCATTACCCCATGTCAACGCCACCCCAGTATTGAAGGGAACGAGGAACCAGAGCACTCTGGTTCAGTGATTCTCACTTCATAATTTTTGTAATAAGGAAGACAGTGAATTGCGGATCATACACACAGGATCGTTCCCTGGTGCAGACGTGAGCAGAGAGTTTGGAGGGGACCTAGTAGGATACGCAGCCTGATCTACTGCTGGATGCAAAATATCCAGCGCTTGGAGCATACTCGGCAGACACTTGTTCAGCCTCTTGAAGGCCTCCAGCAAAGGAGAGACACATACACACAACCAGGTAGAAATGGCCAAAGTGCTGCTTCTTCCAATGCCCAACCAAAGTCCTGACCTTAAGCCCTATAGATCATCATTTAGCCTGGCTAAAAGTATTTGCTCACATCCAGAGGGGTATTCCCTGTGCACAACCTGTGTACACCACCAGCTGGTCTGTATGCATGTAAACCTATGAACATGAAAGGTTCAATGAGATGAGTGCACCATCTGGATACCGGTGAACCCACTATCAAGTGTACACCTATTCACACAAACACTTGTACGTGCATACAGACAACTTGCTTCTAAGGTGTCAACGAGCCTCCTTCAAATATTTGAATAATGCTAAAGGATTATAGGTGGCGGTGGAAGGGCAGCTCTCATTAGTCACTTAGGAGGAAATGCTTTCTGCACATGTTCAAAGGCAATTTCTTGTGTTAGATTACTGTTAGCCGGTCCTGGCAATGAAAACAGGTACTAGGTCCGAGTGCCTGATGGATTTATGACCTGCCTTGGCTCTGTCCTAATGCAGTCATTAAAATGTAGTTTGCTGGAGGAGATGGGAGTCCACCTTTGTGCAACCATGTGGTATAATGGTTAGAGTGTTTGTGGAAGGATTGGGGAGAGACCTCAGTTCAAAGCCCGACTCGGCCATGATGTTCATCTGGGTGACCTTGGACCTGCTACCACCTTGTAGGGTTGTGAGGATAAAATGGAGGTGCTGAGGAAGAACCATGAAGAACTCTGAGCTCTGGAGGTGTGTGGGAGAAGGCAGGAGAGAAATGAAATAAATAAGCCTCCCCTGGTTTTACGAAGTGGGTGGAGGTGGGAAGAGAGTGGTTCAAGTGTGTCAAAACCCCAGTCAACCCGCGTGGTGGTTCAGGGAATGTTGACACGGCAAAACTTAAAAACTGGTTTGAGAAACCAGTTTAATTATGGAGGCTTTCCTTCAAAGGATCTCGGCGACTGTCATCTTGTGAGGGTTGCTAAAAATGCTGTCTTTCAAGTCCCCTAAAGTAAAATTATTATTATTTTTCTAATTTGCAGTCCTTTTGTTCCCAGGATTCTTTGGTTTAGGGGCAGGGGCGTTGCTCAATGCTTTCATTTATTTCTAGCATTTATATCCCAGCCTTCTCCACCCCAAAGGTGCCCAGGTGTACTCAGGAGGTCACAGACTCATGGCACCTATTTGCATAACAATTTGCATATGCTAATATGTGGAAAGAGTGCAAATTAATTAAGGAGGTTTTCTCAAAAAGATCCCACAAATTAATGGGCCTGCCATTGGCTGAATAGAGCCTCCATGATCAGACGCACTATACCACCGACTCTGACACTAGGAATAATCACGGGAGGAGACCTCTCAGCTTTCTGCTGTGCTTGTGAGCTTGTGTGGGTGTGAAGTCTAGCTGGCTGCTGTTGGCAACTGATCTGGGTGAACGTTGGTCCCACCCAGCAAGAGGATTGTTAGTAACACCAAGCTGTTGTAATGGGTTGCCTAAGCTGATGAGGTCAGGAATACAGCGGGGGTGGGGAGCCTATGGCCCTCCTGATGCCAAACTCCAGCTCTCACTGGCCCCCAGCCGGCATAGCCGGCGGACAGGGAGGGCCACAGATTCTTGGAGTGGTGAGACCCACAATATAATACTGAAAGATTCCCTGTTCATGCTGCAGTGGGAGACAGCCTCTTGAACCCGAAGGACGCCCAGCCAAAGTGTGGGTGAGTTTTAGGGTGTTTGAAGATGGCTATCAGGAGAAAACCAGCTTGCTCCATCTTCCATGTGGCAGCCCTTTAGATATTTGAAGATCACTATCGTATCTCCTCTGAGGCCCCTCTTTTCTAGGCTAAACATTCCCAACTCCCTCAACCATTCCTCAACAGGCTTGGTTTCCAGACCCTTGATCATCTTGGTCACCCTCCTCTGCACACGTTTCAGTTTGTCAACATCCTTAAATTGAGGCACCCAGAACTGGACACAGGACGCCAAGTGTGGTCTGACCAGAAGTGAGCAGTACTCTTCCTTCCCTTGACCTGGACACTAGACTTCTGTGGACGCAGCCTAGAACAGAAATCCATAACTAATAGTGGTCATCGCTGTTAATGGAGGTGTCAGGATGAGGTCTATACTGGCTGGTGGGGTGGGGGGTGACACAAGGTGGAACTGAGCTGCCATAGCAGGGCCAGGTATTGGGATGATCAAGCTGGGAGTGGGTTGAAGCACTCTGGAGCTTGGGGGCAGAGCACCTGCTGGCTCGAACCCCGGCCTCTCCAGGTAGGGCTGGGACAGAAGGTTGTCTGAAATCCTGGAGAGCAGCTGCCGGTCAGTGTAGGCAATGTTAAGCTAGATAGACCAATGGGAGACCCGACTCAGTATAAAGCAATCTTCCTAGGAGGCCGAAGAGCAGGAGAGAAAGAGATTGGGATTGCAAGGGTATCATCCTCAAAGAATCACACTTTCTTCTCCTTTCATCTGCTCCTTCCCTTTCAGGTTCAAAGCCGTCAGAGAGGGGGGCCTGTGGGGGAAGCAGTTTCTTGGGGATCAAGGGGGGGATTAGGTGTGATGCGGCTTGTTTTGAGTGTCTCTTGGCAGCGATCGAGGCTGGTGGAGGGGCTTTCCACGCAGGGAGAAGAAAACCCAGCTGGGATTTGGGGCCTGCAGGAACCTGCCCCTTTTGAAGGGGCCTTGGAATCTCCCCCAGGCTTATGGGGGGTGGGAGGTGGAGGGGATAGAGGAGTGGCCCCAGGTGGTAGCTGAAATTGGGGAGAGGGATCAGAGAGAGATCATCTTATGCATCAATCAAGCTGATTACAAAAAAGCTCCTGTGAACACTGAAGCATGGAAGAATCTAGACTTTGACACCCAGCCGCCTCTCGCAACGGCTGAGGCAGGCACCACAAACCTCACCCTCACAACCACACGCTCACATTCCTCTGTAGGCAGCATCGCGCACTGTGGAGCATGCATGTGCACGCACACATAGACACACTGGCTCGCGCTTTGAGTCACCACAATTTGACCTCTTGGGAGCTCGCTGCTTTGAAGGCCTGACAGGAGTGAAAACAGCATAGCAGAGATGAGGGGGTCCCTGTGCATAAACAGAGTGTGCTTCCTTCACTGCCCATGTTCCGACTGTGGCCCCCACCCCACAATGGCAGGCGGCCCCTGGAATTCTGACCATGAGGGAATGCGACCCCGGGCTGAAAAAGGGTCCCCACCCTTGCATTAAAGGGACTGGCAAATTCCACAAGGAGGGGGCCCAGTGCTCAGTGGCTGAATACCGCTGCTTTGCACAAACGCAGAAGATGCCAGGTTCTGTCCCCCTGGAATTGCTGATCTGAAAAGAGCTCAGAAGCCAGGAGAGCAAAACTTCCATGTTCAGGGGCAGTATATCGTTAATTGTAAGTACCCGAGATAATAAACAGAAAGCAGTGGCTGTGTCTCCATTGCGGCTTTTCTTCAGAGTTTCCTAGGGGGCTGGTGGATGTTGGAGACAGAGTACTGGGCCTGAGGTCAGATCCAGCAGGAAATTGCGGGTCTTGTACACGAGCAGATGCCCACACAATACCATGGGAGGCATGGGGTTTATCATAGCTACTCAGAGGGCTACTGGCAAGAGCTGCTGTGTTCAGTGAACATGCAAACATAGTAAGTCCTGGTGGACCAGGCCAATGGTCCAGCATCCTCTTCTGACAGTGACCTATCAGATACCTCTGGGAAGCCCACAATCTCCCCTTCTATTCAGGGACAGCCTGTCTCCAACAATGGAGCCAGAGCGCAGCCCTCGTGGCTAGTAGCCATTGCTAGCC